ATGTGGTACATTGTTGAGGAAAAATATAGACGAAATTGTTGATTAAATTGTCGATGAAATTCTTGATGAAATTGTCAATGATAATGTGGTTTGTTTTTGATGAAATTCTTGATGAAATTGTTGATGGTAATGTGATTTATTATTGTGAAAATAATGATAAAATTGTTGATGGTAATGCGGTATTAGTATGTTGATAGTTGTATGCGGTACTAAGAGTTAATGAAATTGGTGATGAAATTGGTGATGAAAATGTTGATAGTGAGAATGGACTTGTTTCATTGTTGTCATATTAGCTACACATGTAGGTTCTCGAAATTTGATATAACTTTCCATTATCAAAGCTATGTATGTTATGTATTGTTAAATTAGGGTTTTTTTACGTTGTTTTAGAATTCGATTATCCTTAAATGTGTTTTGGTTGGTATGTAGAATATGGATTCACAAAATGTAGTGTTGTTATGCCGGTGGGGAGGTGAAATTATGTGCGATGGATCAAATGTTGAGTACAGTGGAGGGAATATGGAACTTATAACACTTGAACCGAACATGACTGTGAATGATCTGATGAATGAGGTTCACAGTAGTATCGGCTCAAACCCAATGAATGTTGAACTGAACCTTAAAATGAGGTGTGAGACTGGCCATGGGGTTCAAGTGTTACCTGTCTCTACAAACAAACATTTAAAAGCTTTGAGAAGCATTGTTGCAATGAAGGGTGTACCCAATGAGATATACGTAGAAACGGTGCCTATATCCCCCAAAGGTCACTGCTATTTTGGAGAAGAACACAGCAAAAGCAAGATACCACAAGGTGGATGCCTATAACCGTCGGCTGCACATTTACCAAGTGACGACACATAGGGGGGAGCGACTTGGTAGAAAGGGAGGCCATAGATACATTGTTAACTTCCAGTTGAGAACATGTACATGCAACAAACCCCTGATATTCCACCTTCCATGCTTTCATGTTCTAGCAGTGCGTGCGACTTATTCACTGTCAGAGAGGCCGTGGGTGGACCCTTTCCTGCAATCGGATGCGTATATGAACACGTATGCACCACAGTTCTGGCCTATTCCATGTGAGACCACTTAGATGCAGTACACAGGACCTAGACTCATCCCGGACGGCGGCATGGTAAGAGGAAAAGGTCGGCCAAAGTCAAAGCGCATACTCAATGAAATGGATGACACTAACCGACCTAGGAATAAATGCAGCCGCTGTCACCAACAAGGTCACAACCGCAAAACGTGCCCAACTAGATCAACCAAAACATAAGCTTGTATTTGTTTTTAGCTATAGTAGTAGAACAGTAGATTCATGTAGTAGGTGATTGTTGACGTTATGTAACATTTGTAACGCTTGGATCATGTCTAAGTTATATTTCAGATTTGGTGACCTATTTTTCGACTTTGCCTTTTACCTGTGTCAGTCATGTCAATTTCATAATATAGTAATTCTGTTTTTAATTGGTTTGGCCATATTGTTTTAAATGAACAAATATCATGGCCGGACACGATTGGATACCAGGACCACTTGACCCTTCTGTCCTTACATTGCATGATAGTCATCGGAGTGTTGAAATATGGGAGCAGACGGTAATTTCTCACGTGCCATTTCGTGTACAGATTTGTCTTGTTTTGATGTATACTTGACCCTTATTTACGGTTTTTAAATGAATTACCAGGTGGACATAGCGGAAATGTCGGGGTGCAGGCACTTGAGGTCCGGCTGGGCAGTCCATCCACGCGTTCTTCAGTACGTCGACTGGGCTGGCTTCGGTGGTATTCATCGCGTGGGCTATAGAGAAATAGATCGAGGGCTTATCACTGCATTAGTTGAGAGATGGAGACAAGAGACACACTCCTTCCATCTTCCTGTGGGGGAGGCGACTGTCACGCTGTGGGACGTCGCGATACTCACACGCCTTCCCATACATGGGAATGCGGTGACAGGGGGTGTGGTGGTTGACCCCGCAGGTTTAGTAGGTCGGGTTTTAGGGGTTCAGCCAGAGCCAAACGAGATCAGGGGCAGCGCGCTGAGGATCGGTTGGCTACGCGACACTTTTGGACATTTACCTCAGGACGCTGACGACGCCACAGTGCAGAGATACACCCGAGCTTACTTGTTCCTGCTCATCTCGGGCGTGCTCTTTGGAAACAAGAGCGGAAGCCATCTTCAGATTATTTACCTGCAGCTGTTAGACCACGACTGGGATGAGATCCGTGGATACAGTTGGGGTAGTGCTTGTTTGGCGGTCTTATATCACCATCTGTGTAGAGCATCACAGCGTGGAGCACAGCTGATCGGAGGTCCTTTGGTTGTGCTACGGGTAAACCTCATCATTATCCTTAAGCCTAGTTTGATAATGACTTGACGTTATTTATGCTTTACCTTTTTATTTTATTTTTTAAACAGCTATGGGCTTGGGAGCACATCCATGTAGGGAGACCAGGTAGGCCTGTTGTAAACCGTCCGGGGCAGCTGGACCAGGACGATCAGTACGCAGCGTACGATGCTCCCCCGCTCCCTGAACCCGATCAGGCATACGGTTGTAAGTTCGTAACATTACACTTGTATTGCCGCATTTTGTTATAATTAGCTAGTACAACTTCTTAAATAATTTGTTGCCACAGGTGGGTGGTTCCTAGACTGACACATGCGCATACAGCGAGAGGTCTTCTCTACTACCGTGACGCCCTCGACCGACTCACGGATGAACAGGTGGAATCTTGCAATAAATTTGTAATCTTTTGTTTACTCTTTATACTGTTTATTGGCATTGCCCTAACCTATTTACAATATTTCCTTATTGCAGATGACATGGGATCCCTATTCTGCTGTGTTGGTAGAGGCCATGCCGGAACACTTGCTCGAGCATCGTGCTGAGTGGCTTGCCGGGACCCCCGTGATCTGTTTCGAGGTCGTGGAGAGCCATCTACCGGACCGAGTGTTGCGACAGTTCGGACTTCACCAGCCTATCCCCATGGCCTGTGACACTAGTATCCGCCTCCACGGCATTGACCGTCGTGGAAAGTTGGAGACAAATTGGGCACAGGAGCATCATCAATTCATTGAGCTTTGGGACCAGCGGTTGGACTCCGTCGTTGACGGTCACCTGTTTCAGGGTGTTATGGATCCGCGTGATCCTTACATGGTATGGTACAGGAAGATTACACGCCTTTTCATCAACCCTACCTACACGCCACCGTCCACGCACTACCATCCAGCTTATGATGTTATCAGCGGACTTGTGAGTTTATTCCATTTTCTTATTTTCCAAAATTATTTGAAATTCTATATCATATTACTAAGTCATGGATGATTACTACAGGCGGGGGATATGGGTGCGATGGTTGATGCACTTTCAGATGCCTTAGCAGCCGTACCCACCAGAGCCCAGGTCGAGCGGGTGCGAGATATGGGCATACATAGCTTGCAGAGATATGGCCATGGCCATCTCGTCCACCCCAAGGGAGGATCATGACACGTAGGAGATAAATAGGTATTATTGTGACACATATGATGCTAAGTAAGCAATTTTTGGATAAATTTTTTAAGATAAAACTGTTGCATAGAGTTTTATTATCGATAAAATTCTAATATTTCATATATAAATAATTAATCATAATTTTTAATAAATATCATATAACTCAATTCTATTTCCATCATCAAATTCGTTTTAAAAAGTTCGTTAAAATAAGATCCATTTATAATATATTTAATCACAAACTTTTATACGTAATTGGCCAAACCGTGTCGCCAACTATTACAAGATCAGAGAGTTACTTCGTTAGTGCTAAAGGGGTTACTTGGTCAGTGTTATAGTGGTTACTCAATCAGTGTTATAGATAGGGGTTACTTAGTCAGTGCTAGAGGTTACTCAGTTAGTATTACAGAGGTTACTCGATCAGTTTTATAGGGGTTACTTTGTCCGGCCAGATGGTGTGGCTAGCCGCATACAAAATGCATTGTTATTAATTTATTTAAATAAATATTAGAGAATCAGTAAAATAAGTTTTAATCAATAAAAATAATTTTAGTTTGGTAAAAACACTTTTAGTTCAGTGAATAATAACATAGATATTTATTTACAAACAAAACTATACAAAGTACACTCCATATGATATCGTATGTTCAAATATCCTACATTATCAAACGAATTATTTGACCAATTTTATTTTATTTTATTATCCTATGTGGCACACTTTAAATCACAATCCTAACACACTTTTTCTAAAATCTTAATCTTATGAGCCGCTTTAATTTTTTTCTTTTTTAAAAAAAAATCCAACGTGGCACCCTAAAATCTCGGGAAAAAACTCCTCTTTATATATATACTAGTTTTATGTCGGGACAATGCCTAAATTGTTGACAAATTTTTAGATTAACTTTTTGGTTTGAATGAATACGACCACATAATCCCTTTTGATAATACAAGATATTTAGACATATGATATCATATAATAGTTGTAATACCCCGTATTTTTAAGCCGTTTACTAATTATTAACTATAAATTTTTCCGAAATATTTTATTATACAAAACATATTTATATGAATTATGAAGATAATTTTTAACAAATATACTACAAAAGATATTAATGGTCAAACAAGTATATTAACAAACATGCACAATTAAAATGTAACCAATAAATAGGAACAGAGGGAGTAGTTTTCATTGTTTCTATCTAGGACACGATAGTGTAACTTTTATCACCTGTTTTATTCTTGTAACTTTGATTTAGGTTTGGCTGTTCCTTCCTTACCCTCAAAAATCTTAAAATGTAGCAAGTAGTGAATCTTTTTGTACGTGAAAAGAAATAAAGATCAATGAAGTTATATTACATTCCTATCACAAAGCATCATTTTCTGAATACGAGTCAAACAAGATAAAAAAAAGTGAAAATTGAGTGAAAAAGACATTACCTAGATCAAGAAATTAATCTAAGAGCACAATCACAAAGCAACATTTCTCTAGAGAAAACAATTGCCACTTAAAACTTGCCATCAAAATAGTAAATTGCATAAAATTATGACATTATTAGATGCAAAACATCCAACAAAACAGGAAGATAAAAATGCCCCAGAAAAAAGGCAACTCACACAAACAACGTATTGACCATTTTACCCTCATTAACTCTAAAGTATGCTTGGGCCTACACGGCCCAATAGGCCCATATCATTCCCTACGGGCTCTATCAGTAATACTCTGGCCCATTTCCTTAACTCTATGGCCCATATCACCAGCCTTGTCATGAGCCCACCTTGAAACATGATCCATATCCATACCCACCGCATGACCCGCTTCGTACCCCCTAAAATAATTAATAATCCACGAAAAAGCCGAAAGGGCCGTAATCCCAAAACCCCCTGCAACCAGAAAGCCCAAAACAACAAGCCCAATAGTCAAAACAGCCGGTACAATAACCGGGCTAAACAGAATAAACAACGGTGTCGTAATCGCCAGCCCAATAAGCGAGCCGATAAAAGCCAGCCCAGAAAGGCCCAAAAGGAAACCACCTAATGGTAAAACAGTAGCAATTGCAACAACATTAGATGATGAAGGGGCTTTTTCATGTAAGAAATGTTTGAAACTTTGAACAGCTTCTTGACCTCTTTGTTGAAGATCTTGACCTTGACCTTGACTTTGACTACCTCTTAGATAAATATCTTGGCGATAAGATTGATCTGCCATTTTTTTTTTTTTTTTTTTTTGAGATTGTTTAGTTTTTGGATGAGAGAGAAAATAATGAGAGAGAAGTGAGGGTTATAATATGAGGTGGAGGTATGACGTGTGGAAGGAGGTGGACACGTGGTGAGATGAGAGAGTGTGAGTTTGCATGCATGAAAAGGGATAATGAGTGTTTGGGTTTATCTTGTTGGGTAACGGTGCTTTTATATTGTGAATTGTGAAATTGTATTAAAGTTTTAATATAATGTTATACATATCATATGGGATTTGGCAGAGAATTGAATTATTGAAGAATTTTTAGTCTCAAAGTTGGATATTATGTACGTGTTGTTTGAGATGAGTTTTTGAGATTCGGATTGATGAATAAAGATGGCAAACATTAACAGTTAGTGTTAAAACATAGTCTTTTCAAACAATACATGCAACTACAAATCTATAAGTATTTCATATTATAAAAGAAAACATAAATAAAGTACTTTGTAATACAAATAAAGTATTGATATTATAAAGTTGCATTACTTTTAATACAGGTTTATGCCTAAATTTATATCGGTAACATATGTTTTAGGAGTATATTGTATTCTTGGAAAAAGTTGGAAATTCATTAATAAATTGATAAAGTAAAAAACATATTCCTGGGTTTCAACCATCAACTTAAACTATTGGTTGAGTTGATCCTTTAACATAGTATTAGAACCAATGTGACACAAAGGTCACGAGTTCGAATCTTATCCACGCCCCACTTTCAAGTGTTCATAGTCTGCTCTAACCAGTTAAGCTATCCTTCACTCTCTGATTGAACTATTACGTAAACTAGTTTAGATCCCATGTCATACACGGTTATTGTGAAAGTTATTATTAATCAGTTTGACAATATTTAACAAAACATCTTACACGTATCACTAATTACAGTTTTATGAAAATTATTATTTACACAAAGGAGCAAAATACACCCAAAGGTGTTTCCTGCTCAATTGATAATTAAATGAACAATATTTATCAAAATGAGTAAAAAGTAATTTAGGTATACATTGTACCCAAGTAAATATAAGAATATCTGTCATTTTTCTCAATTTAACTTTTGCATAAATTATATACACCACATTGACTAATGTTTATGATATATACATGAATTTAAATATAATCATATAGATACTACCATCTCAATGCATGTGTGGTTTTCATTCAATTACAAAATAGAGGGGTATAATGTTTCATACTTCAAACCTTATTTCACACAATAACAAATAAAAAAAAAAATAGAACATGCGGGGGAAAAAAATTGGCAAGTGGAAATCGAACTATGAAGTCACACTTGTTTTAATCAAATCAAATATTAGTTCTTGTCATATTTGTTAAAATTAACAATTTATTTAGAATTTCCATAATAATAACAGGAAATAAATGGAAAGGAAAAAAAAAAAGTATATTGAAATAAAATATTTTGGCAAGCAAAATTTGCTCTTTAGTATAAAGTTAATGTTACATAATTAGATAAATATTTAGGTAAATCATAACTGATAATTTTTCTTGTAGTACAAAATGTCACAAAATATGTTAAATCTGATTACGGAGTATTTTTTTTTTATTATTTATAGTTGTCAATCTTGTATGTTTAAAGATACGGAATATACTATATCTTTTTTTTTTAAGTAATTACTATATTAATGAAAATAGTCATTATTTTAGTATAAGATCTTTTTAAAATATGTTTTTTTTTTAAAAATAAATAAATAAATAAGGACACACCAGGAAATGGCACGTGTCATTGCTGGTGTGTCTTTTAGTATATAGTTATTGATGTGTTATACTTGTCTTTACATTGCAAGTATTCATAATTTTATCATATTTCTCGTAATTAAGATTTTATCATGATTTTATAAGGAATTCCTTATAATTTTTTGGTACTCTAATTAAGTAGAATCATGTTACAAAAAATTGTCATAATAATCGTATACTACATAATTAGGTATAAAGAGAGTGAGACATAGCTCAGTTGGTAAGAGCTTTCCTCCCGGTTCCAGGTGATCTTGGGATCGATTCTCATCCCCGCCTAAGTGGCTCATATGAACCAAAAAAAAAAAACATAATTAGGAATAACATGAGTACGTCGGATAATAACTGTTACACTCGTAGAAAATATATATATTTATAGCAATGAATGGAGTATTCTAAGGAATAAGGTAAGGAATTGAACAAGTAAAGGCAGAAATACATTGGAATCAAAATAAAATGAAATGAAAGATGGGGCACCAGATATTAAGGTCTTAGGAATATAGCAATATTCGAATATGGTGTCTGAAAGGGAGCAACGACAAATTATCAGTGGATGGAAATATATTGTTGTGTTGATAATATTCCAGCTAGAGTTGACTCAAAGGTCTTTTACTTTAATTTTTTTTGAAGGAATTTTTATTAATTTTAATTTGGGTGAATAAGCTCGACTTTCTGCGGGGTTTTCTAATTAATCAGGTAAAGAGAGTCAAAGGGGTATAAAGTTACATAAGGTGCAATAGAAGCATATAATAAAAACATTATATTCTATGAATATGAAATGTAAAGAGGATATCGTAATATTCTCCATATCTCTGAATATCTCCAAGGCGGCGACAACTCTTTTATAACTTACCTGCTAGACGTGGGTAGTTGGTCGGTTGTTTTTCAATACTATTTCCTACATTTTTAAACATTAGATGGGTGTAAAACTGTAAATGAACTATAAGGACGTTATTATGTATAAATTAAACTCTCTTTGTTCCAAAATAATTGATACAATTAAATTTTGCATATATTTTATATTTATATAGTTAATATTAATGAAAATAAAAAAGTAAAAAAAAAAGTTTTATTATAAATGTTTGAGGTTTGAACTTGTAACTTATTGTATACAGACCCTCGGTTTTAAACACTAGGTCATGACTTTATTGACTTAAATCTTAGATCATGCATATGGTATAACTCTCACAACCTTTTTTATTTACTTATATGAATATTCTCCATGAGCAAAATAGTTTTATTTTTTAAAGAAAAATCTTAGTAGTACTCTACTACTCTACACATTGTACAATCAATTGTGCAATTGAAATACCACACACAAGATATATGGTTTAATATTTGCCCTACTTTTCTTTAGCTTGTTCCCTTAAGTTTGCTCTAACTATAGTTAGTCATAGAGGATCATATTTTTACTCTTACACTACTACAATTGGTATTTTAATCTCGCTTTCACTAACTTTTTAAAATGATATGGAGAAAGATCCTACTAAACCTGCATGCATCTCTCATATGTCCGCAATAGAATGATCTATTATTAGGTAACTGATTGGATTGCTAATGTTGTTCCATCTTATTGACTAATATAAAATGTTGTCATATTATAATTTGTATTTGATTATTAAGAAGTGCACATTAGGAATAACCATTAATTAGAAAGGTGGTAATCGATCTCATTTGAATTTTTCATTGTATGACACAAATTAATTAAAAGATGGTTTTGTTTTTAGAGGAACTAAAGTCGCTGCCTTTCATTATTAGTGGGTCAAATTTAAATCTATCACTAAACTAATAAAAAACTTATCAATTTGACCATACTTATTACATATAAGTCATATAACTTTCAAAAGTAATGATCTACTTCGTATAAGATAGTGTAAATCAATTGTTTCATGCAAATTAAATAAGGATTTTTTATGCCTTTACTATATGCCGGTGACTTTAATTAGAATATAAGTTAGAGTATAATGAGATAAAAAATATGAATTGAAATACTAATCATCATTTTTTCATCATTGGCAATCTTCCAAAAGAAGGTCAGTGCATAATTGGTCACTTATCAGCCAATAATTCTAATATCATCACTTTAATAAATTTGATAGTTGTATAGTTTGTTAGACACATAAACCGTCCTTTTCATATCTTGGCGTGCTTAAAGCTCTATTATTGGTTAGGTGAGGTCCAAATCCTAAATTAATTATAATGTTTTGCATATATTATATGATATGAACGCTATATTATATGTCATATATATCCTCAAAAATTATAATCTTTGGAAATCTTTTCATAGATTTAGTTCTTCTAATCTAGATTGAATATCATTATTTGTCATATACTTTGTGTATATGATGCATGAAATTAAATACCTTTTTAGGTAAGCCGAAATAATTGATCAATGATTTAGCATTTGATCTTTCGATGTATTATGAAGTTATGATTACATGCACTAAATTGTGATTTGTGAAGTTGGATTACGAATCTAGGAATGATTTGTAGCCAAAAGTAGTTAAACTAGTGCACTTAACTCAAGCCTCAATTAATTGATATTTGCACTAGTTTAAAGTGTTGTTCAACAATGTAATATATATTATTAGTCAAATAACTTATTGAAGTGGTGATGTATAAAATATAGGGAGTTTTGGATTTATTTTGAAAGATAATGTCTTTAATAATTATGTAATTTAATGAATTTCATGCTAGTACTTTTGGAGTTTTTGAGCTATCACTTGGAACGGCGGTCGTGGTGGGTGTATATATGTTGTACTTTGGATTTTTGTGGAGCATAAGATTTGTTTTTGTAGGAGTTATAAATAATACTCCATCTGTCCTATATTATATTTCCTGTTTTTTTTTTTTTTTTATTTTGGAGATCCAAAATGTTGTTCCTAATTCTATTTTTAGATAGTATGGTAAAGACCATTATACCCTCATTTTTTTATAACTTTATTCATTGAACTTTCTAATTCACCCTTAAATTATCCACTTACCTTATACTTTTTTCCACTTTCTCTCTCTAACTTTTGTCTATAATTGTACATATTCACTTTTTCCCCTTAAATTATTCACTTGCCTTGTACTTTTCTCTAACTTTTGTTTAGCTTTTTTCCACTTTTAATGCACTTCATCCACCTTTTCCTCCCATTTCTTAAATACAGTGAAAAAATACAAACAGAAACTATATATTGGAACGGAGAGAGTAGTAGTATAACATAATGGATATATGTAATTTATACATAATATATATAAAAATAATGAGCCACAATGTCTCATGAAGTCA